CTGCCAGTGATTCTATGCAATATCAGCTTTCCAACATTACCTCATACCTCTATCCGGTGTCTATATTGGTAGAGTTACAGTCTATTATGAATGTAGTCTTTACCCTAGAGAAGTTCTGGCAAAGTGCTGACTTTGACGCCAGATTCCTTACGTGTTCTTTAGGCACAATATTAACTACTCAATGGCCTAATTATACTTGATGCCAGCTTTTCAACAGTGTCTTGGACATCTATCCAGTACCAATGTTGATAGAGTTACAGCCTGTTATGAAACTGGTCTGTCCCCTGGCAGAGTGCTGACTTTGATACCAGATTCTTTGGGTGTCCTTTGGGTGCAGCATTTTGTTAAGGGGTAGGTAACTCTGAAGTCAAGTGAGTATATACTAGGTCCTGTAATCTTCTGTCTCGGAGATAGTCAAGAAGGCTTGTAAAGATAAAAGTAAAGTAGAATGAATATATTAATTAGATCTCTTCTCCGGTCGCTGATGATAGACTTAAAGCTAGAGATTTTTTTTTTCTTTTGTTTGTTTGACTCATTGATTATTTGTTTAGGGTACAAAAAACGCATGGAGTGCTAGCTATGACGACAAAAAACCCATATCCCTCCTCTCGCCACAGGAAAAAGCCAACCCCCCAAGCCCCTCTGGTATGGAGCCAACCACACATCTCGCCTCAAAGAAAAGAAACCCAAGCCCGGCTAGATGGATGAACAAGGAAATCCTAACTAAGAAGAAAGCAGGAAGGGCCAGGAAAACCCGCTGAGAAATTCCAAACCAAACAAAAGAAAGGTTAGTAGCAAGTCAGGTAGGGCCCCGAAGGGCGAATCCACTCATTCAAGCGGGAAGCGGCGCCCAAAGCGCGCTAAGATAGGGGGCCCCCCCCAGACCTACTCCAAGGAGACAGTGCAATACCATGGAGGGAAGGAGGAGACCAGCCGGCCGTGGGTGATAACCGGGGGGAGGGGAAGGTGTAGTAGTAGGGTACCAGCCAATCCGACTGTCGGGAGAGGAGAGCGGAGGGGTAGACCCAAAGACCTTAAACATCGTCTATTGGTATCGCGTTCATGTCTGACTAGGCAGCCTCTTAGGGGAACAAGAGAATGGGGAGATCGACCGTAGCCTGTTGGCTGTTCTCCCCTACTGCAACTGTAGTCCTGGCTGTCTGACGATGGTAGTTAAGGGGTTGCCGACCGTGAGAAGGCTAAGCGAGGCCAACTTAGGAGGAGGAGAGAACTCCCTACCATGCGTGGAGGGAGGAGAAAAGGAGGAGTAAGGAGGATCATCAACAGCCACCTAGGCCAAGCATAACAGGTGTTTTCCCACGTCTCGCATGTAGTCCCTTGTTCTGGGAGAGATAGCGTCACTATAGTGGAAGGGATCCCACCACCTGCCAGCCAGCGAAGGAGGGCCTGCAACCGACCAACCCCCAAGGAGAGAGAGGGCCCAGCGACAGTAGACCGAAGTCAATACCCCGGGCATGAGAGGCGAGAGGAGCCAGACTCCCCTAGACTGAAGCCAAAGGAAGGAGTTGGCGGGAGGGTGGAGAATGTTTCGCGATGAAACAAAAAACTCACGATAAAAACCGTGGTGTTGAGTTTTCAATCGCTGGGACTCAAAGCTAGGGATTTTTGTTTTTTTTGTTTGACTCATTTTGTATTTTGTTTATGGGACAAAAACGGCCTATGGAGCGCTAGCTATGAGGCCTAAAAAACCGCCCCCCCGCGGACCAGGCAGAACGACGGAGCTAAAAAGACCCTCTGAGGTAGAAAAAGCTACTCCCGCCCGAAATCCTTCCCGTAAACTACAAACCAAGAACCCCCACCGCCAAGCGACA